CTTTGTGGCATAAAACAAATAACATAAAAATGCAACAATAAACACATACGCATGGCGGCCCGTTTCTCTATCCGTATTGAGTTGAGCGACAGAATTCGCTGGAAACAGCGACAAACAAATGCCTAATGAAGAATGATGGCAGAAATTGAGGAAAAGATTTTCCGGATTTTAATACCACTGGCTAAGGTTCTTGGATTTTAAGAAAATGATTCGAAATCTTGGAATAAAAGTAGCCGCATCTGAAATCCATATTCCTCACATGCAGGCATCTTCCTAGGTTTACAAAGCTGAGAGGTTGATGCAAAAATCCATAAAAAGATTGAAAGTATTAATAATTTTTTCTGAAACTCATTTTAATTTTGTATCTTTTCAATAAACCGTCAATTCAATGACTCCATGCACAAGCGAAAAGACAGATTGGCAAATTCTTTATTGAAACTGCCGATGTTTCAGCCGAACAACATTGACCATCTTCAAGGCAAACAATGCATTGGAGAAAGCTGACCAGCTGCGCTAAATGTGACGGTTAAACAGCAGACACAAACAGTATGAGAGACAGCGGCACGTGTCAAAAAGTCAAACGATGCAATTAATTAGGCCTGTCATTTTTGGCGCGGTTGATCTGCTTTCTCCATCTGATTGTTGGCCCTGAGGATGGCCAATGTTGTTTGGCTGAAACGTCGGCAGTTCCAAAATAATTTTTACCCTCTGTCTTTTAGTTTTTAGAACCACTGAATTGATTAATTACATTATTATTTTGATTGTTGATTCTTGTAGTATTTCAATGTCCCTTGAACTTGCGATCGATAAGCCAGTACATGACACATCACGTTAGCTTCTTGTTAAATTAAACTGAAAAATTACTAAACTAAAAATGTGCATTTGCTGGTGAACCTTCCGGAAGCACCTTCATGGGCGTAAAGCCTAAAGCTTGGGACAACCTCACAAACAAGGTTATCCGTGTAGCATAGTCACATGACAATCTTTGGTGATGCACGAGTCGCGAACGATCATCTGTTGAAATTCAGGGTTTAAAAAATAATCAGAAGTTTTCGCCAGCAATTGAAGCCATTAAAGTCCAGTATTGATAAGCGTTTTCACTTGGAACCATTCTATGACGTAGTTTGGTTGGAAAACAGAAGAAGTCTTCGAAACATTTACCAAAAATCGAAAGAGGTATATGTTTGTCCTCGCCGCCTCACAGGAATAACAAAGATTTCAGGTACTGACATAAATGGTATGAATTCAATGACCATATGCATTACCAGAGAGCAATAAAGTTATTTTTGTACTGCTTAGCAACCTCACTTGATCGTAAGGAAGATCTGAGTTGTTTGGCCAAAAACGTTGACAATAAAATAAACTTTAGGCGTAGTTTGATTGTGACTATAAACACAGAATGCCCACTACGGATATTGACGAAGAAGAAGCCACAATCGAAATGAATTTTCGAAATCGTTTGGGAATCACATCGCAAGTAAGCCCATTGTTCAACAACTGTGCTGCTCGTTTTGACTCACGTTTGGCACGAGCAGCAGCAACAACGACAGTAGATGTCATAGAAACCAGATAGCAAACGGAAAGTTTTTCGATAGTGATTTGTTGCCTCGTGTATATTATCTGTTGTATGGTAAGTGGTTAATTAAGCATGATTAATATGCTCAGAAAAAATTTCTCTCGAAGGCAGGGCCTCACTAAGAAAAACATCACGGACCGTGATGTACCGACGTCGTTCATCAAAACTGTCTATTCCTCTGACGGTTGCACCTCGTCTCCTTAGCTCCTCGCATAAAGTCTGAACTTTAGATTAGGTACGACGATCTTTAGTCTGCTCATACCCAGCGCGTCGTTTTGACTCAGTTCGAGTCTCGGCCTCGCAGGCCAAAGCAACAATAAGTCTTTTGTCGGTTTTTGACCTTCTGCCTTGGGACCGCAATAACGGAGGGCCCGCTTAATGAATGACTCGATTTACGCAAGGCTTCAAAGAAAATACCTGTTTTATTGTTGTTCCTATGAACAATAGACCAATCAGGTCGCAATTTGGGTACAAAAGAGCAATGGCTACGGAGATGGTGCCGACGGTTGTGTCGGATGGATGGTCGAAATTCGAAGCATGCGAATAACATTGATGCTGCTATAAGTTTATGATGGCGACGACCAAGAAACACTTGCCAATTAGCTGACGACCTGAAAGGCGTTTGGCACTCATCGCGTGTGCATCCCAGAGACTTCCTCAACGTTCAACGTTCGGTCGGTCGGTCGGTCGGTCGGTCGGTCGTTGTTGTCGCTAATTGCCCGTTCGATAACGGAAGTTGGCCTAACGGCATTGAAAGCCAGGCGGCTTATTAGCTGTATAATTGCTGTTAGATTCTTGGGTGAAATTTGTCGATTTTAACGGTTTCTCAAATTATATGAATAGTAGGCATTCTGTAGACTAGAAGGCGAATGAACGAATATGTTATTGCTTAAATGGCATCACCGAGGATCCAGTTTTTTCAGCATAAATAAAAAATTTAAACAATAAATTAACCCCGTCATCCTGGGTTTACTAACGAAGTGATAGTCTTCGTCATCTATCTTTGTCTCCAGATTTCTGTTTTCACGTATTTTTATGCCTGCGGATGATGGAATCTCAGCTGATGCCGGAGCAGACCTTTGTTCGGCATGGCACCTTCATGCGGTTTGCATCCATACGCCACAGTTGTTGGACAATCATAGAGCTACGGCTTACTTAAACGGTTCCTAAGGTGGGCACAGTATCTTTGTAGGCAATATTACAATTTTGTAAGCAATTTTAGACCAAGCTACCAGGGTTCGATGTCCAAAGCCAACAGAAGGGCAGGATTGATGAAAAACAACAGGCCGAAGGGATGTACTGCCTGTTGACAGTGTGCCCGCAATGGAAGCTGAGAAAATCGCTCACGCAAAATGTCAGCCTCTATTTTCAAAGCAATGGCGATATCATCATGCAAATCGCGGGAAGCATTACCATTTCCTCGCTGCCACCATCCAAACAATGCTAAGGTTGCATTCTTCTTAATCATACTCCATATTTTCCATACAAGCATTTTTTAGATCTTCCATTCTTATCGTCAATGAGTGATTATCGACTGTTCAGCAGGCACTCATCATGATATAAATATTTCAAAACGAATTTCTTGGAAATTACTGCACACAGCCCCCTCACAGTCAGTCAGTTCTTCCGTCCGCACTTGCATTCTCCTTTTTCGTACCTGTATTTCAATTCCTGTAGTACTCAAATCATCGGAAAGACCCTTTTGTATATTGCATTTAAATATGCTGTTTCGGAACCCCCGTACGATACACCTACCTTTTTGCTAAAGTCTATGCTAACAGTAATCAGTTAGGCAAGCTACAGTGGTTCCCAATATTAATATTTAGACGTTTCCATGGCCTGTTGTCGGTGGGTCAATTTAACGATGCACATCTTCTGACATCAGAACATCAAGAACCCTTCGAATGGCGACCACGTTTGACGGCATCGTTGTCCGCGTTTACGACGTGCGCCTCGTTTAGCGTCTCAAAGCACGTAAAACGGCTGCCAACGTTCATTTGCTCCTGACGTTTCGCTGATGCACCATAAAGCAGAGACGTCGTCGTGGGCGATGGCTGTGTAAAGCAGGAGCCTTTAGTCCAGTGACTTGAAACCGACAGTCATATCGAAGCTATTGCTTTGGTTCGCGTAAATGACAAATATTTTGTTACTGTCGGTCAAGGATGATTCAGCAGATAGTTTTATATGTGGCTATCCTTTCTATTTCATGAGTGAATCCCGCTATATCTCATGCAAGATAGCGCATAATTCCTTGAGGACCGGATTTAACAGCGCATTGCACCAACCATTTGATCATAGTTGCTTAGAGGGCCATTTAACCGTCCACAACACCATGCTTTTTAGCACCTGCTGTGCCAGGTATCCCTCGCATCATTCTGTTCACTATATCCACCTCTAGCTCAGTACGTACGATGTTACAGGGGCTCGTAGTCATTATATGCTAGTGCATAAATATTACGTATATTCGTACTCCAGATTATGTCAGTATGTTATTCGGAAGTGGTTCCTTCTTATTACTGGATCTCATGAATTCGAAAAACAATGCTAGCTTGACCTGGGGTGAAAGGGAAGAGAACGGAAAAAAATGTGGCACACTGATTGTGATTTGTAACGCTTTTCGTGGAGCTTGTGGCGCATCTTTGATCGCAGCCACCGAGATGCAACCAGTCACGACTGCCATACACTTTGAAATCAATATCTGCCTGTCAGCAGCCCCTGCAACGTATAATCATCCACTTCCTTTACTTATCTAACTAATCCTGGTTTGCCCTGAAAACCATTAATCCAAAAATTTGGAGCAACATTGCATTATTTACGTTTTGAACGAGATAACGAAATGTCCATTTAAGCAAGCTTTAGACCTGAATATTATGCGTATTCTTTTATAGTACTATATCTTTATATACACCTAGTACTATATCTATGTCTATCACTACCTTTACATTAAAACATTTCCTAATGAATGCTACGGAATGCGTCAAAGGTCATAGTACTCCGATTTATGCCCATGAGCGTCATGAGTTTCAGCCCTGCACGGCTGATGCTGAGCCAAACTTGCAATAAAACAATTATACATCCTTCAGATATGAGTTTTCAACATAAATCAAATTTCAATTCTTATTCAACCGAAAGACCACAATGATACTTCATCGCCCAGACTCATCAGCACATCCTCTATAGAAGCTCACGTTTCCAGGTTCCAACATCTGTCGTATTT